TGTGGGATTTTATTCAGCTGTGTGGAAGGGGCTTGAGTTCAGGTTAAAAGGGGCAAAACAGACTGAGATCGCAGGCTTACTATCTCGTGGAATTAAAATTATTTTTTTGAAGATATAATAAAAATAATTGTAAACAAATTCGATATGGAAGGAAAGGGGGAAAAGAAGGGGAAAGGGTAAACAAAAAAAATCTGAAGTGCCAATATCTTTATGTAACTTGTTCTTAGTCTGACTAGTTGGCTTGGGAAAAAGCCATTCGTCATTCAGAAATAACTCTCTGCATGGTCTTTATGAAATAGAGAATTGTTGGTTTTATGGGGTCTTGTTAGACTCTGTCACCATCTTGTCAAGTAGGGCTAAGGCCAAAAAAAAAAGTGTCCCAGACATTGGTCCTATCCCCAAACCGAACTGTGAGGATCAACAATGGCAAGTTCTAGCTAGTATTCTTACCAGTGCTATTTACTAAATTCTGTGTTTAATTGATTCTGATTCAACCTCAGTCTGGCTATTAATAAATTGATTGGGCTCTCTGTGTGACTTGTTTATTCCTCCAGTAATCCGTTGCATAATTTTAGTATAAAAACAAATATGAGCAAACGTAATAATGCATTCCAGTGTGTTTGCAAAACTAGTGCTTTTGTTTTGGCAGTGTGATTTTTTTTCATGTACCGGTAATAATTAGAGAATGGAGTTAGGCAAGATAATAGGCTTTTTGTTTAAAACAAAAGAAAATTGAATTATTCTTGAAACGTGTTTAGAAGTGTTGCAGATCGTTTTGGTTTTTCATGGTTACACTTAACAACAGATGGGAGTGTGTATTGTTGAAGGCTTTCATGGCCGGAATCACTGGGTTGTTGTAGGTTTTTCGAGCTGTATGACCATGTTCTAGAAGCATTCTCTCCTGACATTTCGCTTGCATCTAGATGCAGGCAAAACGTCAGGAGAGAATGCTTCTAGAACATGGTCATACAGCCCAAAAAACCTACAACAACCCAGATGTGTGTGTGTGATATAAATCACCAGAGGCCCCCGGTGGCACAGTGGGTTAAACCCTTGTGCCGGCAGGACTGAAGACCGACAGATCGGAGATTCGAATCTGGGAAGAACGAGGATGAGCTCCCTCTGTCAGCTCCAGCTCCCCATGCAGGGACATGAGAGAAGTCTCCCACAAGGATGGTAAAACATTCAAACATCTGTGCATCTCCTGGGCAACACCTTTGCAGATGGTCAATTCTCTCACAGCAAAAGTGACTTGCAGTTTCTCAAGTCTCTCCTGACATGGAAAAAAAAATAATCATCTTAGCATTTAACCATTTTTAAGCAATGATACCTATCTATGTCACCTGATGATGATGATGATGATGATGATGATGATGATGATGATGATGATGATGATGATGATACTTTATAACCCACCCTCTCTCCCCAAAGGGACTCAGGGCAATTTAAGATGGATCAGCATTTGGCTGCTTTGATTGTGCTATTTCCTACATGGAAGTGGGTTGACATGGCTAAATTGCACATGTGGTCTCTTCTAACTGTATTATTCTATGATTCAGGTCCTGCCTATCTTTGGGACTGCACCCCCACCCCATGAAATAGCACAGGCTCTGAGATCTGCTGGGGTGGCCTTCCTTGTGGTCCCACCACGTTCTCAAGCATGGTTGGTGAGGACAAGGGAGAGGGCCTTCTCGGTGATGGCCCCCTGGCTTTGAAACACCATCCTTGGAGATTAGGCAAGCCCCAACACTGTCCTCCTTCCATAGGGACCTGAAGACCTGGCTATTCAAACAAGCTTTTGAGAATGCCTTGTCCCTAGTTATCTACACTATTGTTATGCAGCCTTGCACTTTATCCCATTCCCTCTTCTTGTGGCTACAGTTTTGCAGTTATTCCATTCCCAGTTTGTTTGTTTATTGCCTGGCCACGTGTTTAGTTGCTTACCACCATCAGTTGATGAGTGCTGTTTTTAATTGAATGTTAGTTGATGTTTTGTATGTCCATATGTTGTATTTAATTGTATTTTTAATTTGTTTTCATCTCATGTTCTGTTTTTAGGCACCTTGTGCTGTGTGTAAGCCACCCTGAGTCCCTCCGGGGAGATGGTGGTGGCGGGATACAAGAATAAAGTTGTTGTTGTTGTTGTTGTTATATAAAATAACAAGATTAAAAAGTATAGAAGTATTGAGTGTCTGTCCAATTGCCTGGAACACAAGCCTTGCAAAAATCTATACCAACAAATCTAGGCTACCAAATTGTGGACTCCAGTTCCCTTCAGCCCCACCCAGCATGGAAAATAGTGACGTGTGATGGGAGCAGTAGTTTACCAACAACCCCACCCTTGCTTTAACAGAAACTCCTGCAAACTCTACCACTCCCATCAGGGGCATTCCTGAACTTTTAATTTAAAAATTGTGATGATCCCATACATCTGCCTCTACCAGCTAGTTCTTTAGTGTTCTGCTGTGAAGGGAAGAAGGGGATTTTAACTATGTTAAAAGCTACTTTGAATTCCGAGTACATTTACTGTACCCACTACCACCACTGTGGCAAACCTCTACTAAATACACTAATCAAGAAAGCATTGTGATATGGTTGTCCTAGGGTCACCATAGGCTGGAGATGACTTGAAGACACACAACAACACAACAATCACCTTCATATATATACATACTAGCCATCCCCTGCCACACGTTGCTGTGGCCCAGTCTGTGTATATGTGTTTTGTGTTTGCATATATGTGTATAATATGTGTTGATATATCTTGTGTCCAAATCTAGTGTCAATTAATCCAGTGGTTTTTGAGTTGTTAATCCCACAAACAAACATTACATTTTTATTTATATAGATATATATATATTAAGGAGCCCCAAGTGGCACAGTGAGTTAAGCCCTTGTTCTGGCAGAACTGAAGACTGACAGGTCATAGGTTTGAATCCAGGAGAGCATGGATGAGCTCCCTCTGTCAGCTCCAGCTCCCCATGCGGGGACATGAGAGAAGCCTCCCATAATGATGGTAAAACATCAAAAAATCTGAGCGTCCCCTGGGCAACACCCTTGCAGACGGCCAATTTGCTCACACAAGAAACGACTTGCACAAAAAATACAAAAAACCCTCCATACCACCACATAAAGGATGTATATGGGCATAAGAGAAGTATATAGACGCATATATCCCTAACAGACTAGTGAGGAGCAGGAAATGAGCTTCAAATGCCAGCATGCTCATCACAAGCCCCTTCTACACTGCCATATAAAATCCAGATTATCTGCTTTGAACTAAATTGTATGGCAATGCAGGCTCATATCATCCAGTTCAAAGCAGATAATGTGGAATATCTGATTTGATAATCTGGATTATATGACAGTGTAAGAAGGGTCACAGTTGTGGATTTCAGGCACAATATTTTTGAGATGAAACACATTTGTCAGTATAGGTGGTAACGGCAAGACACTTTGCAGACTTTGCTTTAACTTCTTCAAGGAAACAGTTTGACTGTATGACCTGATGTGCCAATATTGTCATGCCTTGTAGGAACTGCCACCCGGATCCTGCTACATCCATATATTTTTCATTTTTAAATTACTATAGCAATTTTTTTGTGTGTGTTAGGAGCGACTTGAGAAACTGCAAGTCACTTCTGGTATGAGAGAATTGGCTGTCGGCAAGGATGCTGCCCAGGGGACACCCAGATGTTTTACCATCCTGTGGAAGGCTTCTCTCATGTCCCTGCATGAGAAGCTGGAGCTGACAGATAGTTTACTCTGCTCCCCGGATTCAAATTGCCAACCTTTCAGTCAGTAGTCCTGCCAGTACAAGGGTTTAAACTATTGTGCCACCGAGGCTATAACTTGCTCGCATTCAGTGATCTTACATGGCTAATGGCAACGATGGCCAATTGAAACCCAACTTAATTGCTTTCAGATCAGAGATCAATATTACTCCATGTGAACTTTTCCCTCCCTGGAGCCTTTGCATATGTGGAAGAGGAGTCATTTGATGAGCAGAGTGTAGTAATTCCTTGGCCTCCTTTTCACATGCTTGAAGATCATAAGGAAGTAAAGTTACTTCCTCTAAAGTAAATACAAATAGATGTGTCCTGTGCTGCTTTAACAAGCTCTAAACTATGCTAGATTACTGCTTGGAAAATTGATTTTGAAAGCAATTTAATGTGTAATATATTGTAAAATCTCACTCTGCATTAGTTACCTCTAATTTGGGTGGGGGATTAGTAATTCGCTACATTGTTTATATTACTCATTACTTCTTGAGGAACAAAAATATAAAGAGTAGATACAATAATGGTGTAAGAGTTCATAATTTCTGATTAAAATATGTTTAAACAGATGCCAAAAAAGTGTGAAATTAATCTAGAAGGCATTCTTTTTTAAGAGGAATCGTTGGGATCATCCGACCTGTTGTCTCACAACCCACCAATCAACCATGTTACTTACACATGAGATACAAGCCACATAATTAGACAGGAAAGGATGTAACAAATGTATTGGTTCCAAACTGTGGCACAGCTTTCAAGATCTCCGCACAAGGATTGTGTATAACTGGTGTGTCATCCATATAGTACAGTGGTTCCCAACCTTTTTTTTGACCAGGGACCACTCTCCAACATTAGTACTAAAAGGATTACGATTCAGTTTTTGGTCAACTTTAGATTCAGTTTGGTTATTTGGAGTGCTGATTCAAAAAATTGCATTGGATAGACCACATCAGCTCTAGTTTCTGATACAGAACATATGCCATCCAATAGTCACCATTTGCTCATTCACAGAAAACCATATTTAATAAGCCTCAGCACTATAAGAGGGTTTTGCGAGACCAGTCACTCTCATAGTAACGGTGAGGCCACGGACCATATTTTAGTTCTTGTGGACCACTGGTGGTCTACAGATCACGTATTGGGAACCACTGATATAGTATGAATGACACAGTAGCATGAAAACTCTTTCATCCAAGCTGCTAGGAAAGGTGAATAGAAATAAGCTTTTAAAAACTGAACAAATCTGGTCTTTTATTTAATATTTGGCCAGGACAATAGATTCCAATGGGTGGACTACTTAAAAAACGGAGGAACAGCATAAACATTTTGCTTTTCTGTAGGTGTGAAAGAGGGGGAGGGAACAAGAAGTATTCTATCAGCCCAGTTGGTGGTCACATCACACCTCCACGAAGAACCGCAGTTCTGTTTCTATTTGCCGAGCAGCGTCTGGTTCTTATCCAAATGCTCCACATCGAAAGGGTGCCAGTTTCTCATGGACTGGGCAGCCCACCCTGCAGCATTCCTGAGAATTGTACAATATAATCTTGAGTCAGCAGGGTGGATTAGCCACTTTTCATTGGGCTTGCACTTGTGACCTTAACAGTAGAACTGCAGAAAGCAAAATGCATTATGCACCTTTGCCATAGTAACCCTTTCATGTACATATTTCAACTTACTTAAATACACACAACTGAAAACAGCTACCATTTGTTTTAAATTATGTACAAACCCTCTATTTTTTTCTTCTGATTTTTTTGATTATACATATAAATACAAAATAGCTATTCTTCTAAAAAGTGGTTATAATAGTAAATAAATACAAAATAAGAATCTGACCTTTATACTTCATGTGCTGAGGGGAAGGGGGGGTTAAACCCATATAAAATGTACAACTAAAATATGCTTTAAAAATCTTTAAAAGGAATAATTCTCTGATTAAAATATTTTTCCTCACTTTTTCTTTCTGTAGACATAAATAGATTTTCAAAATAGATGCGTTTAATTCTCCATTTCATAACATAAATAAGGTCTTCATTGGGAAATATTAAAGTGTCAAGTTTTGTTGTGTGTTTTTTATTTTATTTTTTTATTTTGTAAATGTCCATTTTGTTTTGTTGCTTAGTCAGCGGCAACCACAGCCCTCCACAACCATGTCTTGATAGTTCTTGAGTACAACTTTTTCATTTTCATCAAGGTAGAGCATGGAGATAGGACTCAGTTCCGTCGGCACGCAGCAAGCTTTGGGGATTTTGGAATTCACTGAATTGACCAGAGTCTGAACAATGGCGTGGTTTGTGGAGTTGAGGTGATCTGCCAATGGAAAGGGACAATCTCCACGGCAGTGGTAGGCACTATAGCCCGGTGGGGCCACAATCCAGTCATTCCACCCTACATCATTGAAGTCTACGTATAAAGGATGCCTTTTGCAATGGGATTTATGGCGTTTGCGTTCTTTATATTTTGCCTGGCGTTTCTCTCGCCTATGGAGAGGGTGTCCCTTCCCATCATGTCCAAAGGTTACTAGTAGCGGCCTGAGCTGAGACCAGCTCCCATCGTCCTGATGCAATGACCTGCTGATCCTGACATGTCTCTTGGAGACACTGTTCTTCTTGTCCAAATGCACCACCTCCACCACAAAACCGTGATTGGGTTGTCCATGCGCAACCCATCTCCTTAACGCTGGTGTTACATCAAAAGTTTCCCATTTGCTGGCATTGTGATGCACTAATCGGGTGTCCAAAAGTCTTGTGACAGGGTCCTTAGAAGCTTCTCCCTCTGGCTTTATTATTTCATAAATATTAATACGATGGTGAGAGCTGCTGTTGCTCCCAAAGATATCTTGGACCTGCTCCCGAAAAATCTGGAGCTCAGCTGAAGTGATAAACTCCCCACTTGGAATGGATGCCAAGTCAAAGAAGAAACGCCGAGATGTTTTCCCATTTTTTTCAGGAAGCTCTTCCAGTGATTCTGATTAAGAAAGTAAAAGTAAAAAAAGCACAATCAGTAATGGGGAAACACCGATAAAACCAACCTTCTCGCAAAAACTTTCAAACAATATGAACATCAGTCAACATACCTTGACACTACAACAAAATGCTGCTTTTTAGCAATCTATTAATTTAAACAAGCACAAGGAACATGATGATATTGTGTGCCATTCACTATTCTGCACTTGGATCTAATTGGAGTACATTGAGAATTCCAGGTGGTCGTAATAACACAGAAGAAATGTGAGGCATTGCTTTGGAATTCAAGGGCATTAACAAAAAAGTTTTAACACTGTGGTTACCCGGGGCCTGGGGAAAGTAATTAAAAAGTGACTAAGGATCAAGGAACGGGGACTGCATTTCTTAAATTTCTTCAAAACACACACACACCTCTCTTTTCTACAGCTTTCATGTCAGTCTCTCACAATTTGTTCCAAAAGCATTATTCTGCAAGTTTCGTTATTTGCAAACCTTACTCTTTAAAAGCTTGTCTCTTAATTATAGACTGCAGAGAAATGCACACCCAATCATTTTATTCAGGAGGGCCTTAAATGAAAAGTTGTCTAGTTCTTCTTTCAGAAGAATCCTAGTGACTTACATCTCAGTCCAAGAAATAGACTGAATTGTTGCAACAGCTTTCTCTCAATCTCTCTGTATGTGCTCTGAGTAGTGAACAATTTTTATTGATTAGCCAGTTGGCCTTATCAAAACAGACAGTGCAAACACAGCATACAACATTGATCTAGTCCTCTTAAAATAAATGGATGTGAGAGCGATCTGGCTGCGACATCTGTCACCCCATTTTTTTTTTGTCGTGTCAGGAGCAAGTCGCTTCTGGTGTGAGAGAATTGGCCGTCTGCAAGGACGTTGCCCAGGGGATGCCTGGATGTTTTGATGTTTTTATCATCCTTGTGGGAGGCTTCTCTCATGTCCCTGCATGAAGAGCTGGAGCTGATAGAGGGAGCTCATCCGCCTCTCCCCGGATTTGAACCTGCGACCTGTCAGTCTTCAGTCCTGCCAGCACAGGTGTTTAACCCACTGCACCACCAGGGGCTCCTTGTCACCCCATTGATCACCAGGGTTGATTTGGCTAATCTGGCTGGCTAGACGGGTGTCCCTTCCCTCACAGCTCCATGTGTGTCCCTCCCGAAGCTACACGCTCAAGAGGATGACGTCCCAGGTATAGAAAGAGTGTACCGAGGTCTCCAGTCTTCAGTCCCAGGTATATGATAGCTACGCTCCCATGCTAGAAGCTCCAATCAAGCTCAAGGTGTTCTGAGCATTTGTTCCTTTAGCTGCTTCATCCTGTATTTAGTAAGTGAGGCAAACCCATCACCCTAACTTCACCCTTTTCTTTCCACTCATATTACAAACAGTTCATTACAACATACAAAGCAGGAATGGGTATATGCGAATGCCCCAAAAGCCTATGAAATGGGGTTGTGCCATGTCTTGTTCTCGTGTTGAAACTTTTATACTACCCATTTTATATATCATGCTTGAATGCTCCAAACATACCACCAACATTATAATAATAATCCCTGGTTTTAAACTCCATAATTCAACTAAAGAAGCACTGTGGCTTGCTTAATGCTGCCTGATAAATTCGTAGTTGAATGGAGTTTTGAACATTGGCTCACCTAGCTTACTGGTCTCCAGCTCATGCACTGAGACCAAAGACAGAGCTGTCTGGGGCACAAACACCATATTGGGATGTTGTATGGTTTCCAGGCTGTATGACCATGTTCTAGCACAATTTTCTCCACATTTTCACCTGCATCTGTGGCTGCATTTGAGCGCCAGACAATCTGAAGATGCCAGCCAAGGATGTAGGAAAAATGCCCAGAGAAAATGCTGCTAGAGCACAGCCATAGATGCAGGTGAAACATCAGGAGAAAATGCTAAAACAGGGCCATACAGCCCCAAAACCATACAACACCCCAATGATTCCAGATGTGAAAGTCTTCAACAATATATTAAACACCATGTTCTTTTGGTTCTTTTTAAGAGCCCAAAAATAATGGAAATAAAGAGAAATATGGAGCTATAACCACTGAGGGAAGCAAGTAAATAGGCATATATATTTAAAAACCTGAATGGGTCCAATGTGTTTGGGAGGTCCCAACACGTCAGATTTAGCTGTCAGCCTGAGAAGCAGTTATAAGTTAGACTTATGGTGAGAGTCAGGATGGTGGAGTTGTTTGGGTGTTGTACTATGAATCTGGAGACAAGGGTTCGAGTCCCTACTGGGCCATGGAAAGTCACTAGGTGACCCTGGGCAAGACACACACTCTTAGTATGTTTGATTCAGGACTACCATGCACTGGGAATGATTTCAACAACAATAACAATAGTTTCATATTCTCATTTACAATCATGGTGCCAACTGCCATATGTTTTAATTTGGTTGGGTTAATTTATAGTTATATGTTATTGTCTTGCCATTTTTTGGTTTTCATATTATGTACGACATCGAATGTTGCCTTTATAATGTTGGAAACAGCTTTGAGTTCCCTTCGGGGAGAAAAGCGGTATATAAATGTAGACCCTAAAACCCACTCTAAAGCCCAGGCAGTCATACAGTCATACGTAAAGAGGTTCTGCGGCACAGGTGAGTTGAAACAGGATCTCACAAATGCCGCATAACCCCTTTTCTCAACATAAATGTCTGGTTTTTCAAGTGGATTTTACAGATCAGTTCTGAAGGTGGAGCACAGCTACATAACCCGTGCAGGATCTCAACAGTTATATATTTAAACATTTACATAAATCAATATAATACTGTGGAGGCGAAAGTCAAGTACAGGCAGTCTCCAAGTTATGAACAAGATAGGTTCTGTAGGTTTCTGTCAGTTTGTTGTTAAGATGAACTTGTATGTAAGTCGGAACAGTTACTCCATCCATATATAGGGAGGGTTTGTGTCTGTGTCCCTGATCAGAAGATTTCACCTCACGTTTTGTCCCTGTGGATTTTGGAAATATTGGCTTTTGTAGAAACAAGTATTGGTGATAAAGCTTCAGTGGAGACACCTTTTCCCCATGATAATTCTTTCAGGTATTAATTTCCCTTCTGCGGGGTAAATTTCTGTTTTTTTCCTGTTGTCTCACCCTCATTCTTAACTAGGAGTTATTTGTAACTCAGATGTTTGTAACTCAGGGACTGCCTGTATATCATTTAACTTTCGAAATAGCATGCAAGAACAAGAGATCCAGCAAAAGGAAGAAAGGAAGAAGAATGTTTCCCTTGTCTCTCCTCCGATCTTGTTCTTAAGTTTGTATACTTCACAAGAATATAAGTTTGAGAAGAATTTAAGTTTGTATATTCTTCACAAAACCTCCAAATCCATTAAAAATTACTGGTTCTATATTACACAAGTATACTACTTTGATATCACATTGACTATTATAATTCTGCCGGAGACTTTTAAATTCTCTCATCACTATTTAGGGGTGCATAATAAAGAGGGTCTCCCTTTCCCAAACTACATATCTCAGTATTCTATAGGCTAGAGCCATGGCCGTTAAAGAGCTATCAAACTACTACACATGTGCAGTGTAGATATGCCCATAATGCCACACAAAGTACAAGATCCATGTTCCTTTGTCCTTATAGCAGACCAATAGGGGCTTAAGTCAGTTATGCCTAACTCGCCTAACTCAAGTCCTAGTAATTTCAGGATGTCGTCCCACAAGCATTATGATCTAACAATCCAATTAAAAAACCACCAATCAAGTCAATGGAACTGGCATAAATGTTGACTTACCAAATTCTCATTGATTTTTGGGCCTGCTCCAATTTACTAGCAATTGTGTTTAGGCCATTATTTCTAATAGTGAAGGCACCAAGTCCAGGGTACTGTCAATTACTTTAATAACCACGTTGCTCCATTAACGTATTTTGCTTGGATGTCTCACTGATTTTCATCATATTGGCTTCCAAGCAAACAAGCTGAGGATCACAGCCAAACAGTTTCTACTAAAGCTTTATAAATACAAACATAATCCAAAGCTTGTTCCTTGTTATTCTCTCATGTCTGAAGAATCCATCCCACCCCCCACCCTCTTATAGTTGCCTTAGGTCAATTTTAAATAGGTACCTGCATGTAAAGTACATAATAGTTAAACAGCATGATGAAATGCAAAACATTTGCAAGCTTGCTGTAATTGTTTTATTTTGATTTGGACTTGTCTGTCTTCTCCACAACCCTTTGCACCAACACCACATGTGTGCCTGCTCACGGTCTCCTGCAAAGTTGGCCTCATTATAGTCCAAAGTGGTATCCCTCAGGAGTGGGAAACTTGAAGCTTTTCGGAGGCTTTGTACCAGAATTTCTTTGATCCCTCCTTAATAACTACTTGCATAAGGTTGATGTGAGTTGCAGTCCAGCAGCATCTGGAGAAAGGGTACTTGGACTCCATACAGCAAATATGGGTGTTTTCTTTTCTTTAATGTGCTAGACCCAGAATGTGGCACTTGGGCTTGATTTCAAAATGTCTTGGGCTATGGCTATTATGCTGCAAATCTCTCCAAAATTATCTTTAAGGATGCCATCAGAATAATTTCTGAGGAAGCACAAAAATATTGCAAGATTTCCCATGTATGTCAATTTTTGCAGCTTCTACAACAGTGTAATCTTCTTGTCTTTCCTCTCAACCCTGCTTTCCCAAGCTCCTCGCATCCCATTCCATAAACTTGCCTTCTTTGAAATCTCTAACCATGCTCACAGGTGTTGATCTCCAATCCCCACAACTATGAAATTCAGGTCTATTTCTTCCCATCACTCTCCTTGCTTTTGCTTGGTTTCTTCCTTTCCATTCACCACTTCCCTATGCACTCCACATTCTCATTCCCGCCCTTCCCCTGCCTGGTTGTGAGATATACCAAATTATCTCTCCCAATGGCTAGGGAGGTTCACCATAACAAGCCACAACCACATGGTGTTTACCTCTCACTCTAGTTGGATGTTTTTGTTTTTTGGT